CTCTATATATTCTCATTCTCATTCTCATTCTCATTCTCATTCTCTCTCTCTCTCTCTCTCTCTCTCTCTCTCTCTCTCTCTCTCTCTCTCTCTCTCTCACCTACAGCACACAGACAGACTCCCCTACCTGGGTTGTGCAGTTAAAACAACACTGAGTACCCCTGACCCAAAGTCAGCAAATAACTGGCCCTACCTAGGCCAACTCTGTATTCAATGGAGACTTTGCAAACAGAAAGGACCTTGGAAAAGGCTTCATCACAGGCCCAGGATGCCCCCTAGTGGCTATTTCTGTCTCTGCAGCCGGGCTAGTTCTAGCTAGGTGGCCCAGTCAGACCTTCAGGTGACAGGTTTTGGATTCTGGACACTTTGAGGCTTTCCAGCTTTGTCGTGTGCACACTTCCTCTCCCCAACACCTCCCCCTGACCTCCGTGAAGCCTCCCAAGGCTCCTCAACACACATCAGTGTCACATGTCACCTGCTACAGCCACAGAGGAATCACTGACGAAACCGCTGACGAAGTCACTTTAGGGTTGAGGAAACTGAGGCTCTGGGGGAGGGGGTGGGACCTGACTAAAGTACCCTAAGTGTGGGAGCAGGAGGATCAGTGATGGGGCTGCAGATCATGCACTGTGTTCAGTCCCCAGTGCTTAGCAACACATAAAAATAGAGCAGTTCAAGGTTGGCCTCGGTCACACAGTGAGTTCAAGGCCAGCCTGAACCATGAGACACTGCCAGGCGGTGGGGGCGCACGCCTTTAATCCCAGCACTCAGGAGGCAGAGGCAGGCAGATTTCTGAGTTCAAGGTCTACAGAGGGAGTTCCAGAGCAGCCAGGGCTACACAGAGAATCCTTGTCTTGTCTTGAAAATAAGTAAATAAATAAAAAGCTGCAGCTTGGATAAGCGTGTTCGACCACGGCCGTGCACAGTGTCACACTAGGTATTGGGGACACCGAGGAAAAAGTTAGGGACGATGGTGAAGAACAGAGCCCCAGAAAAAGAAGTCAAGGCCAGCAACTGTCACTGTGGGGTCGGGAAGATGGATCACCAGGGAAGAGCTCTTGCTAAGCAAGCCTGACAGTTTGCAGTTGATCCCCAGAAGCTATGTAGGCCAGATGTGGCACACATCTGTAATCCTGGCCTTGCTACAGCGATATGGGAGGGGAAACAGGAGAACTGTCTGGAAGCTAGCCTAGAGTGCACACATCTAAGGAGGGCTGAGCATGTGTTCTCAGGTGCTGTGGGCACAGGGAAGGTGAGTAACTTCCTCGGGGTCACAACCTAGAAAGGAGCAACTGTAGCTGCAGGCCAAGGGATGCGTGCAGGTTAATAGCACCCAGGGGCCCAGTCACACCAGGCAGCGTATGAGTTTGAGAACAAAACCCAAGTCCCACAGGAAAACCCAAGTCCCACAGGCTGTGGGGAGAGCCGCGGCCAGGGCTTCCCTCACCTATCTACCTGCTCTCTAAGCCTGGAGACCACACACAGCTGGCCAGAATCGCGAGGGGCCTCTGGCTGCTGCCCATCACAGCCTGCCTCTCAAACCACCAGCTTGCCACAGCCAAGGGCGTGAGAACGTCAAACGGCTGACATGTCAGAGGTGCACGTATCCAGGGCACAAGTCAGAATCAGCAGCAGCTGGAAGGAGTTGTTGGAAGGTAGGTGGGATGGTCCAATGGGTAAAGATGCCTTGCAAGCCTGACTACCTAGGTTCAAATCCTGAGGACCCACACAGTGGAAGGCAAAAATCTGCTCTAACCACATATGTGCGGCAGCCTGTGTGCCCCACCCCTAAAAGTAATGTAGAATACACGATTTTAAAAAGAGGGAGTCAGAAAGTGGAGGGGCTTTGGGGTCCAGCCAGGAGGATGCGAAGCAGCTTTTGAGTTGGATGCAGGAGCGAACCTAGGCCAGGGGTCCAATCAGGGCCAAGGTCCAGATGAGAAAGACCAACAGCCTAACAGCCAGCTGGGAGGGTGACGGCCGAGGGACGGAGGGCCCTCCAATGACTGTAAGGGTGTGTGGACTCAAAGGGGTTGATGGCCAGAACTCTGCTTTTCCAGAACTAAACCAGCTGAGAGCACCAGATGCAGATGTCATCTGAGAGTGACACCAGATGCAGATGTCCCCAGGGGTGACTTCGGAGACAAAGGCCCGGAGTCAGGGCTGGAATAGGTTCCAACTGAGGAACACATACCAGAATCTACAAAAGCATGTCACTTAGCGCGCTGTCTGTGCTTGTGACAGGCGAAAACACTGAGTGGGCCTGCACAGTGGAGCACGTCTGTGACCCTGCCCAGGAGGGTCAGCATCAGATGGTCACCCGTCTTGAAAATCCCTAACAAGGGCTGAGGCTCTACCACAGTCAGCAGAGCACTTGCCTGGCGTACACGAAGCCCTGGGTTCCGCCCTCAGCACCTCATTCACTGGGCGTGGTGGTGCACACCTAGAAACCCAGCATCTGGGAGGTGCAGAAAGATCGGAAGTTCAAAGTCACCCTCAGCTGTATAGTAAGTTTGAGACCAGTGAGACCTGCTCTTTAAAAATACCTCAACAAGGCTGGGGTAGAGCTCAGTAGAAGAGCTCTCACCGGGAGTGCAAGTTTGGTCCCCAGACCTCATAAGCCAGGCACGGTGGTACACACCCCAGCACTTGGAAGGTGGAGTCAAAAGTAATCAGAAGCACAAGACCGTCCTCACCTACATAATGAGTTTGGGGCTAGCCTGGGCTTCATGAGACCCTCTTTAAAATCTTAACAAAAACCCAAACCAAAGAAACAGTAAACGGTATTAGTATTAGAAAAGAGGTTGAAAGATAACAATTGGGTGGCTTATTTTCAGTTCTGGATGAATTTACATTTGCTCCAAATCTCAACCTAGTGACTCTCTGATCTTTGTATTTCTAGGGTTAAAGTCCTGTGGTCCTGACACATTCTAATGGCTGCCTTGCTCTCTCCGGGACCGACGGTGCTAGCCACCATGCCCTCTGCCGTGCCCTCAGCTGCTGAAGGCCAGAGGGAAAAGGACCGTCAGCAGCCACTGACCTGATTGACCATCTGGTGCTGCTGGACAGTCCTCTTCTCTTTAAATTCTTCTGACTCAATTTTAATCTCGTACATCGCCCCGCAGCCTCCTGAAACAAAGTCAACGGCGTTTCCGTTACAACAGATGGTAGCAGACTCACGCATCCTCAAGTACCAGACAGTCCCAAGAAAGGGGTGTCCTGACAGCATCCTGCTAACAGGTGTAGGTAAGATCACAGTTTCCGATCTTGCCATTCGCTCCTGGCAGGCAGCCTTGACCCAAATGTTCTCTCCTGTCTGCAAGGTGCCTCTGCTCCCCACAGCTGTCAAGTGTGATCAGGAAGCATTGGGAGGCAGAACATTCTCTCTTGGTAAGCCACGGGAGATGGTGGGAAGGTCAATTTCAGTATTACCACCTTCCACAGACGTGTTAAAAAGTACAAAATTATCCTAAGTTTTCAGCCAATCATATTGTAGTCCCACCAATGATGGTTGATAGTGACTATCAACTTGACAGAATCTCTTATCACTTAGGAGACAAACCTTCTGGGTATGTCTGTGAGGAAGTTTCTAGATTGGGATAACTCACCCCTATAAACTGGAGACCTGGACTGAAGGAAAATAGAGCTGAGCACCAGCATATCTCTCTCTCTCTCTCTCTCTCTCCCTCCCTCTCTCCCTCCACCCCCCCTCTCTCTCTCCCTCCCTCCCTCCCCCCCTCTCCCTCCCCCCACCCCCTTCGTGACTGGACACAATGTAACCAACCATTTCAAGCTTAGGCAACCATGCTTTCCCACCACAAAGAATGCCCTCAGAGTCCTCACTGACATACAATAAAACACCCTTCTTTGTGTTTTTTAAGTCAGGGTCTCACACCGTCAGACCTCAAATTCTCCACAAAGTCAAAGATGACCTTGACTTCGAGCCAGCACAGCACGCTCACTCAATTTTCTGTTTCTGGGATTCAAACCTGGGCCTTTGCACATGCTAGGCAAGCACTCCAACTGAGCCACATCCCCAGTCCAATAAAAGATGTTTCTGAATGCTCTCCCAACCCAGGCACCGGCGAAGTCAGGGTGCCTTCCCTGCAGGCCAGTGCAGAGCTGGCTCCTATCTGGCTGCCTGCACCTGCGTCCCTCTCAGGGTGTGTCTGGATAAAGTCCCCATCTTCCCTCGGCTTCTAGCGCAGAAGCCGCACCTCCAGCCTGGCCTTGACCAACAACCGCCAGCCAGACATTCCGAGGTGCAGAGGTGGCCTGAGGAGAGCAGGGCCAGCCTGGGCTTGGAAAGTCTGCCCTGGGTCCTGATTCTGCCTCTGGTCCTCCTGTTCCCCTTGGCTGCTTTGGGCTTGACTCTGGATAAGTAGGGTAGTAGACAAAATCCACCTTGGACCCATCCTAGCTCTCCATTGTAGGGTGTCAGAAGAACTGGGGTGAACAGGTAACAAGGTCTGTCTAAAACATGAGAGACTGTGTCCTGAGCTTTTGGTGCCTGTACAGGGACAGGCTTGCTGATCGACAAGAGGGACCTCATCTGAGCAGGACTAGTCTGGTAACCGAGTTCTCAGCCAGGCCTTTATCTTTGTGGTTTCCCTCCGATGTTTCTTTTTTCTTTCTTTTTTTTTTTTTTTAAATAACCGAATGCCGGTTATTGAAGGAGGAAGGAGGTCTTAAATCAGGCTTACAGCACAATGGGAGAACCCCGGAGGGCAGAAGTTCGCTACTGATGTTTTACAATCTTGCATCTAAGCTATTAATGCCCATTATGCAGGATACACAGACACAAAGAACTTCCCTTAAGCATTCAGGAGGGTGAAACCCTGGAGGGAATTAGCACAGGGAGGATATCAAGGTCAAGGTCAGCAAGCAAGGCAACAGTTACCCAAAACAGGGGTCAGGGCCCTACAGGTCCCCCTTTTGCTAATAAATGAGCTTCTGACTTTGGTTGCATGGGACATCAGCAGGTCACCTTACCCGTCAAGGAGATGCCTGCCCAGGCCACAAAGGTGCTCTGTCTTAGGTTGGTGAGCGCCCCCCCCCAGGTATTACCCGTCTTTGAATACTCATTATCATCCCTCCCATGTTTCTAAGTCCCCATCTCCATCTGGCCCAAAGCAACACATAGGGAGAAGTCACTATGGCAGGTCCCCTCCTCCCAGCCTTTTGACTAATGGAGAAGTCACTATGGCAGGTCCCCTCCTCCCAGCCTTTTGACTTATGAA